TTAACTCTATAAACCCTTCAGGCAGAAAAACGACCCATAACTCAAGGGATGAGCCAAAGAAGCTGTTTCAAAGTGGATTTTTAGGCTCTCATGTCACCAGCAACCTGTCACAAAGACACATCATTTGTTCCCATTTCTTTAGCTGATGGGTGAAAAATATGAAAGTTTGAGACAAATTGCCAAAGACAATTTGCTGAAAACTTGATATGTCTTGTGATCAGTGTCTCCTTAAAATGTTTGAGGAAAGTGGGTAAGTGTTGAGCCTATGAAACAATGTACAGCAGATGAACATGTTGTGCTGTGATTAATTGTAGTTATTACAGTGGCACTAACATTTCTGTCAAGTCATGGTTGTTTTTTTCAATAAGCTGTTCCTTTGAGCCATTAAAATACAAAAAAAACAGGTTTTCTTAAACAATATAAACACCTGAAAAAGCCTCAATGAGACAGGAAGATACACCCCTTTTGGAGTTTGTTTCTAAACGGTCTAAACTACTAAATATAATTACTATTTTATCATAAATCTGCTAATTTTGTTGGGAAAATTTGATCATGATGACCCTGTGATGTTTTACAATACAAATTATTATGTTCATCTCTAGATAGTGACAACAAAAATGCTATTTTTCCCACTTTCTTGGGAGGCAGCCATTCAAAAATACGGGTGTGTTAAGGAACGTAGCCAATTGTAGACAGAAATCCACGAAAAGGGGCGTATTTAATCCAATCATATTTCTGTTGAGAATGGCAACAAGTTGAAACCCAATCAGGAAATGATCAGTGCTGTGTGGGGCGGGGCTTATTTCAAATGTAACCAATCAAAGCGTTTGTCTGGTGACAGACTAGGAAGCCCGTCAGTGTGAATGAAAATGAGTGAACCCTGAGTCTCTACATTTTACGTAGATGTTTCGTAGGTTTTGCAGTTATTTGGTTCCTGCTTGTGGTTTCTCACATTTATAGACGTAATGTTTGGGCTTTATGTATTCAGGGTGGCGTCCCCTGGTCTCCGCCCTCCTCTGTCTCTCCGCCCTTGGAGACTTTTCAAAAAGATACAAAAAGCTAGCTGCGTTTAGCAGTAAAAAAACCGGAAGTAGATTTCGAAATAAGATCGCTACACTTTGACACCATGCAAAAACTAACGTTGATATATTTATACGTTTAATTACGTGTCAATATGTGTCATTCGTCATCTGATTTCTAAAATATATTCATTAACGCGTTGCTATGAGTTGGTAATAAGCTGGTGAAATGTCGGGGTTTTATTTTGTACCGGAAGTTGAGCGTCCTGTTTTGCGGTAGAGACGGCGGCTGTATAAAGCTCCGCCGGGCAGCGCTGTGGTGATCTCATTATCACTCCCATCTCCCCGGGCTGCCAGCATCTTATTGTCTTCGCAAGAAGCAGACAGGTATCCTACCGTTGTAAAACCCGGTCTCCCTCGGATCTAAGCTAGCCGTTAGCCCGGTGGCTGCCCCCGCGAGGCGGTTGGGTTCCAACGGCCGTGCGGAGAACTGCGTTGTCGGGCCTGGATGTGTCCGCGCGGGGGGACGGTTAGCCCACTAGCCGTGTCTCTTTACGGCTAACGGCGGCCACATCCAGCATCTGGGTGACATTATAAAACATTTTAAATTCGTATTACGCTTTGAGCTGCGCAGTAGATATAGGCTTAGACGTTAATAAAGAGAATAAAGCAGCCACCGTTTGAGAAACGGGGAGTTTTTGAGGGGAGTACGTGTACGTGTGCTAGCGTAGCAAGTGTTGTTGCTAAGGCAGCTAGTTAATGGCGCTCTGACTAGTCGTAACTAACGACTGCTAGTTATAAAGCAGACCACTCCCGCCTAGAGACGTCTGGGGACGGGAATAGATGTCTGTCAACAAGTGGCACGGCTAATAGACGGGGGGTGGCTGCAGAATTAAGGAGACGAGCTGCGGATGCAGACTAATTGCTGGACGCATAACGGTTAGCTTTGCTAGTTTGAATTTGTCAGTTTGGGAAGCTTCCAGCCAAGACGTGCTTTTAGGTCCATTTTAAGAATTACAACAACTTTCTGTTCGTTTGCAGCTGCCTCTTTAGGGAATTACGGGTCGAGAAACGTATGAAATGCATCTCGTGGGGGTTGTTCCTCGTCCATCAGGTGGATTGTGCATATTGAGACGTCTATTTGTGTATAAAAGTGGTGTACTGAACGTCTAAATGCTGTTTATAAGGCAAGGCTGGATAGTCCTCACAGTCTAATGCATGTCAGCAATGTGTGAGGAAGGAAATAAGCTGAAAACTGTTATTTCTACAAAAGCTTAGACTTGTTTGTTTTTTCCACCCAACACACGATGACCAACAGGTTTTGAATGAATGGTTTACTCATCCTAGATAAGAAATCATACATTTCTGTTTTCTAATCCTGTCTAAATATTAGTATATATCATCCCTTTTAGTTCAAGGGCCATATTTTGTTCAGAAATGTTAAAGTAAGCCACAAAAAGTAAAATTCTATCTGTATTTCAGACCCAAACATTGTGAAGTTTGATCAAAAATGACTTACTAATGGATAATATTATGGTTTATTCTGGTGTTTGCTTCATCCATCCTGTCTGTCTGGTCATCTAAAGCAGTGAATAAACTCGTGCCTAAGGCTTATAGATAAATGTCACAGGGTGTAAACACAGGGTGTTATTTTAGCCACATAAGAAACTGTAGCTTTTCTGTCCTTGGGATTCCTGCAGTGTGTGTCATAAACTGTGAGCCGTGGACGCAGAGGGCCGGAAAACGGGGTTGTAAACCGTTGTCCTGGTGCTGGGAATGTACAAAACAGAGGCCGATGGCCTTTAAAACCAGTCAGACTCGCAGGATTTTAAGCTTTAATTGGGTTCCACCTAATTAAACTCTCTGAATGATATTGCCACAAGTGTTTTGTTTAGATATAGGTCACATTTCTGCCGTCAGAATCCAACTCAAATACAATTCGCTAAAGTTAAATCATACTTCAGACTTGAAGACTTTAAGTTATTGGATTTTAACAGATCCATTAATTGTTGATATGGAAGCAGCTGTTAAAATACAGCTGTGTCTTTGTAGGGATGGAGAGAGTTTGGAAACATCTTTAGACACTTTAGAGGAAACAAACCGGATATTTACAGGGAGAAGAGTCAAATTAGTTTTTATTTTGTTTAACAAACAAGCCCTAAAAAGTGGGCGTGCCAGTACCAAAGTCTCTTCTGGTCAGTGGAGCTGGCAGATGTAAGAAAGGCTTCGGCTAACTGGCACATGACCCACGAGCGGTCCAGCTCAGGGGCACTTTTGGATTATTCGATTAACTTAAAATGACGTATTTTTTTGGTTTAGAGAGGAAGAAGGACTGGCAGTGGCTGGAATGGATGTGGTGTTTGGTATTCTGTGGCTGTTTCACCAGCTTTTGTTCCCTCAGACACATCCAGAGTCCCACCAGTGGGAGGGGGACAGGCCAAGGAAGAGACCCCCAGTTTTATTCAGCAGTTTTGGGGTTGATGGGAATATTTGTTTTTTTCTTGTTTGTTTCAGGCTCAAAGCTGACAGCATCTTACACCCGGATCAATGTGAAACTCAAACCCAGAAGCCGTCTTTAAAAGGGCATTAGCACTACCCCACGCTCGGGATTTCAAGTTAATGTGCAAAGAGAGGATTTTACACGGTTTAAAAGCTGCTATTGGCTAAAAGTGACGGTCTCTGCTGAGATATGAGGAGAAATAGTCTTTGACTGTGTTACCAGAAGTTACTCAGCACATCTTTTTATTGAGTGACTCTCAAATCTTAAAGGAAGTTTCTTTTTAAGATAAATTGAAAATTCCTTTTATTTATTATTGAGTCGTAGGTATTGATGTTATGTTTTCTGTACGTCTGCAGTTGTTGAACTGAAATAATCAAAAAGTAATTGACAGTCATAACAGGGTGTTTCAATAGAACGGTTTGTTTTTTTGTTTTTAAACTGACAAATGTTGCATTTCCTCGTTGTTTTCCATTATTGATGGGTTCTGTTTTGTTGTGAGAATAGGGCTAATTATAAAATTATTTTCAAGATAAAAGAACAAAGGTTGCATAAGAATAAACTCAGACCTTGTTGCTCTCAGTTCGTTGTAAAATAGCTGAGATGACCTTGTGCTTAACGGGCTGTAGCCAGTTCAGGCTGGAAATGTTCCCCCATAAAATGTGATTATATGGACATTTCTGGCATTTTGTCTTATGGTGTTGCAAAATGTTCATTTAGTACTCTGTTGTCGATTGAAAACAGAATAATTTTTTGTAGATTTAGTCAACGCAGTTGGACACAACACACATGATCAATAGGATTAGCACTGACTTTTGGAACAAAGTTGAACTGGGCGTAGCTAAAAACAAAGTTCTCCACCCACAGAACAGGTGACCATTGTCCCTCTGTAAGAGAGATTTCTGCCCTTCACACCTGGACCTTTGACCTGGTGTGGTCATCTTGTCCGTAAGCCTCAGGGAGCTGGAAAGGTTATTGTGCCCAAATGTGCACTGAGAGGAATTTCTGGAAATCTTTTAACTGGTCTGACATGGCTGTGAGCTGTCATGTTTACATTTACTCTTCTAATGACCAAAACATGCAAACATACATGGAAATATCAAACATTAATGACCCAAACATGTCAAACTATATGTACAAATTATGTCAGATAGTTCAGGTATTTTCCTCCCTCTTGAGCTCCTTTCAAAGTACTTTTATTATTCCCATTTATTTATTTAAATCTAAATTGAATGAGCTGCATTCATTGATCTTTTTGCTTCGTTTGTTAGCGTCTCGGTTTGCGTGAGCTTGTTAAAGGGCTGGGATCCTCCCGGTTACCTTAACTCAAACCCAGAGTTAGTGGATCGGTTTGTTTATTGTCCAGTGTTTGTTGGATCTTTAATTTTTACCTTCAGGCTTTGGAGTCTGTGCAGGATTTTGAGTATGTGTTTTTCTTTTCCAGCTGAGACCGTTTGGGGAAGCCCAGCCCCCCAGCAGACGCCATGGGGGACGACAGCGAGTGGATGAAGCTTCCCATCGACCAGAAATGTGAACATAAGGTGACTGTCGGCTGACATTTTGTTTTTGACGTCAATGCTTTGTTTTTTGAACAGCAAACGAACTCTAAAAACCAGCAAAGCTGCAGAAGTCATGGATTAAAACTGCTTCTCCGTCCAGATTAGCTCCCCTCAGACTGCTGACTCTTTGTGTTTGCTCCTTACCAGGCTTTGCATTCAGGATTACGCTAATATTGTCTTTGGGGAAACCTTTTAATCCAAGACGGCAGCGTTCCGCCTGTCTGACAACAATAGAACGCATCACATGATGCTCAGTTTGTCCTAAAGGCTCCCAGCTTTAGTAACGTCTCATTAATCAGGTTTCTTATCTAATGCATTAGGCAAACTGTAGAAATGTTCTATTACACGGATATTTACAGAGATAAAAGGAAGAAAGTTTATCTTCCTTTATTTGATGAAAAAATCTGTTGGTTTGTTCTTTTTCTTCTCTCTTATTGAAGGGCCAAGGATGTATCTTCTATTTCATTTTTATGGGCAATTTAAACAATACAGACAGCTGCCCAGTGTACAGCCGTCCCATCAGACTGATTAAAAATGTCTGTTTTTCCTTTTTCTAGGGATTGCTTGTTTCTTTTGGGTTTTTTAATGAGGTAAAAGCTGACTGCTGTAGTTTAAAAACTCTCGTTTCTACTGAAACATAACTGCAAAGGGAAACGTTTCCTTGATGCTGACTCCTCTTTGGCCCCTTTTTGATCCAGTTTCTGTGGATAAAACTCATCATATTGAGGGGAGTCTCCTCATCTGATTTGATTTCTTTAAACCTGCTGGAAGATTAAGTCTCTCTGCAGTTTTAGTTCTTCCTTCCTAAGTTTGTGAGTTTAATTTAAACTCTACAGCTAAATCGTTAAAGTTGAACCTGAATATGTTTATGTTGTTTATGCTTATGCATTTGGCAGATGCTTTTTATCCAAAGCAACTTACAGAGTAGACACAATATTACATTTATCATCATAGAATTAAAAAAAAAAACTAGATTTTCTGTGGTTTAACCCAGCAGTTTTGTCCTTTTGTCTCCAACCGGAGGCCTGTTTGATCAGGACATCATTGGCTTTTCTGGGTTTTATCTGGATGGAGATGTTGTTCCACTTTTGACTTTTATTCTGTCTCCCACAGGTGTGGAAGGCCCGGCTGAGCGGATACGAAGAGGCTCTGAAACTGTTCCAGAGGATAGAGGACGAGAAGAGCCCGGAGTGGGGAAAATACCTGGGACTGATAAAGAAGTTTGTCACCGACTCGAATGCCGTGGCTCAGCTGAAGGGCCTGGAGGCGGCGCTGGCCTTCGTGGAGAACGCACACGTGGCCGGAAAGTGAGTTCCACTCACGAGAAAAGGTTCACCCACACGTTTAAGAAATAAAGATAGAGGTTGAGACTTAGAGTTTTCCCCTGTAAAGACACTCAGAGTTCAGTATGGAGCCCCTCAGAATCAGAAGTACTTTAATAATCCCAGAGGTGATCATGTGACTAACATAAAAAATAACTACTTTCATATGGTCATCTGATCAGATTTATTTAGCTTCTGTTTTACCAGGAAAAACAAGAACAGATTGGTGCCCACAGTGTGGAATATCCAGCACCAGAACACAAAGGCAGTGTGAGGATGTGGTTTCAGAGTGTCGTTGAATGGGCTTCAGATCCCTTTAAAAGCATCGGCTTCCTTTGTAACGAGCTCCTGGCATTTTTAACAAAGCAGAGTGAGTTAAGCCTAAAAGGCCGAAGCTTTGACCTTCCATTGTGGCATATTCGTCTGTTCTGGGAGGGCTGTGCTTAGTCCAGCCAGGTGGGAGGGTCTGTGACGTTGGTGGACGGAGTCCATCTGTGGCTTAAACACATTCAGTTTTCTGACCCCAGACTAGGCTGGTCCAGATCCAATATCTGGATCGGATTTGGTGCCGATATTTAAAAAAAACTGCGTATCGGACGGCAAGAGAAAATGCAGATCCAGACTCCACATTCAGTTTTTTTTAAAAAGTCCGATCCCACATTAGCATTAGCATCTCCTAACACACAGGTCTGTGTCCTAACCATTAAGTTATCAGAGTAAATCCCGGTTCAACATGAGTCTGACAACTAAGTAAGTAGATAAATAACTTTAGACTTTAATACATGCTCTGATAGGCTGGGATCAGATCGGATTGGAAGTGAAAAAAGCTGGATCGGGACATCCCTAACATACACTCAGCTTGTGTTGTTAGAGGCAGAGAGTTCACCAGACATTGAAATAGCAAAGAGCAGGAAGGATAGAAGACCAAGGAGCAGTTTCAGACCAATGTTTTTGTTCTGATATATTTTTCTCAACTTCAAGAGGGGTTTAAACTTTAATACAGGCTCGGATAGGCCGGGATCGGTATCTGGATGGGGACATCCCTACCCCGGATCACTTCATTGATGCTTTGTTTGTTTGGTGTTCCACAGACTTCCTCTGTGTGTGTGGGGGGTCTTTTAAACACCTATTGGTTAATTTAGCTGTGTTAAAAACGGCAGGTGCTCGTAAATCGGACGCTAGAAGAGGCATGTAAACGCCCCTCAGTCCTGACTAGAGCGCCACACATCTCTCTTCTTTTGGTCTGCCTTTGAGGGCAGACAGAAAGACTGAAATCCGTTTTCTTCCTCAGGACGACGGGGGAGGTGGTGTCGGGGGTCGTGACCAAAGTGTTCAACCAGCCGAAGGCCCGGGCCAAAGAGCTGGGCATGGACATCTGCCTGATGTACATCGAGATCGAGAAGGCCGAGGTGGTTCAGGACGAGCTGCTCAAAGGCCTGGAGAACAAAAACCCCAAGATCGTGGTGGCCTGCATCGAGACGCTCCGGAAGGCCCTGAGGTGGGTGCTCCAGGGGTTAGCCCGGCCCGGGGACGGGGATTAGCCTCAGTTATTTTTATAGATGTTTATTCAGATAGAAAAGTTACATCGCATTCTTTGTTTTTCTCTTTTTCTTCCTGTTAACTTTAAACGATTAGTTACAGTTCACAGAAATGATCTTTTGTTATCTTATTCCTGAGGCAGGATCTGGGTATAACCTGTTGGTTTAAAAAAAAATCCCCATAGTCCTTAACCCTTTAAAGCCTGATCTGAGAATAAAACAAAACAGAAAATTACTTTTTTTTTGTTTGAAGTCTTTATTTGGCCTTTTAACAAAATATGTAAAAAGAAATACATTTGTAATATTAATAATTTATTACTATGCGATAGGTCAGGATTATTTTTTGTGTAGTCTTCTGCCCCCTGTTATCAGGTGTATCTGATTATGTACAATAGGATTTTGAGCAAAGTTTTTACCATTAAATTATGCAAAAGGTGACTTAAAACGTTTACTTAAAACATTTACTTAAAACATTTCAGAAACCGTATTAATCAGATATGATACATTTGGCATTACAGGGTTAAAGCTGTAAGATTGGTTCAAAGATGATTTTAACTACACAGAAATATCACATTATCTAGTATTCATTAAAAAGTTATTTCTCTTAGGCCACGTTAATACAACATTTTTATTTATTTTATTATTCTTATTATTTACCAATGGTTCCCTGAGCCATCAGTAGCTCCCTGGAGGAAAGCCTGTAGGGGGACTATGTCCTGGATTTGTTCTCATCCCTGCAGATTGAAGCTGCTCAGACACTTTCAGGCTTTAATTAAGTGA